TGCTGCGAAGCAGAAGCCCAGGGCTCTTTTGCACTTCATGTTTGTTGAGATGAGGCGACTCCATCCCCAGCTCACATCATGTCGCCTTGCATTTAAATTCCAGGGCCCATGCTAACAGCATTTGGGCAGTCTCGGAGGGTGAAGGGGTCAGGAGCTGGGACACCATGTGTGCTGTGGCACTCTCGTTTACCTGCCACGCTCATGTGAACAGCTTCCTCTGGGCTTGGAAAGTCCAGCCAACAGAGGGTTTTGCCCTCAGTGGTGGAGGGGGTTCTCCAGTGGTAGCTGCAGAAGCTGCATCTTCTCCATAGAGCCCAGAGGCTGTTGTCTCCAGAGCCCTGCACAGGGCATGGGGCAGGTTTAGCATAAGGCATTTTTTCGCACTTCTCCCCATGGGCAGGATTGGTGCTGTGCACTGCTGAGCCTGCATTGGTTCTGCACCCCATCCGGCCCCTGCTCACCTGAGCCCTTCCAGGTGCAGCAGGACGTGACCTTGGTTGGCTGTTGAACCAGCATTTGTGCATCTGTGTGTGCACGTGTGTGTGTCTCTCTAACCAACCAAGCCCACCTCATCCCCGCTCCTGCCGCACTGATCTCAGCCATGCTGCGTGAATCCTTAACAGATTTTCCTTGCTTTGTGCGTAATGTGTGCACAAAACGCTCTTACATTGCTCCCTGGAGCAGTGTGAGTGATGCAGCTTACAAACGTAGGCACATATTTGTCTAAGTGTTGTCTCTGCAGCTTTTTTCTCCACCTAGTTAATTCGTGAAGATCTGAATGAACAATCCCCTGGATAGGAAAGCTCATCGTGTCCTGCATGGTCACTGCAGGGCATTTGGGAAGCTGTGATGCACAACCATAGTCAGTGTGTTTGGTGACTCTACAGAGGAAAGAGCTGTCAGTCAGGCAGGGATGAGAGCAGGGACTTCCCAACTTGGTGGTCTTGCTCCAGCCACGACACTTGTGAACGCCAACTTCTGCAGCCTGGGAAAGCAAACAAAGGCCAGCTAGTCATGGCCTGCTGCGTCACCCATCCCTTTCACCAGCTGCTGTCTGATTTTCATTCCTCCACTCAAAGATCCCTGCAGCTACGCATTCAAGTGCCCACAGGTGACTACTGTGAAGAACTTGTACCCTGCATTGGGGAAAGGATCAGCTGCATTCCACCCAAAACCCCATCCTGAGCAACTCACCTGGACATCAGCAGCTGACTGGCTGCCCTCCCTGCTCAGCCCCATCATGCACAGCAGACTGCAGGGTGGCAAACTGGGCAAGAAGCAGTGGTGAGAAGCTCCAGCCTGAGACAGCCTAGCAGATCTGGGACAAGGGACATGACTGGCAGTGCTGTCTGTACCTGCCTTAGGTGTTGGCAGTAGATAACTGCTCCAAAGTGTCCCACTGCCTGTTCCTATGTGGGCTCAACAGGAGAACAATCCAGGGCACTTCTGAAGTGAAGCACCTTTTGAAATCAGCTGGAAGCATAGACCTTTCCCAGCTCAAAACAGGCCAAGTCCTGAGCCTCAGAACAGCTTTTATATCTGCACTAAAGGGCACATTGCCATTCTTATCCTGGCAGACCTCTCAGCCTCTTTCAGTGCTTTGGTATTGGAAAAATTGCCTTTACTCATGAGTAATAGAAATTCAGAGAACATGATGGTGTTGTTTCCAGTTAGGCACTGCACATGGAGCAGTGTCCACAGGCAAAGGCTTCTTCCTGGCCAGTGGGGAGACTCCATATCCTCGAGGCAGAGAGTGCCCAGATCTCAGCTATTCACCTTGTCATTGCCTTGTCTCCAGACCAACATAGGACATTGCTGGGTCCGAATCGGGCCATGCACAGGAGCACTGCAGGGCTCTTCTCAGTGACAGCCTCCCTCTGCTCTCCATCCTGGCTTCTCACGGTTTCTGAACCAAGAGAGGGCCTGAGGCTACGGCCTTCAAAGCACTTCACCACCAAGGCACACAACTTCTAAACAGCTATCTGCAGCTTGGGGGTGAGGAGCATTTTGCCGTGTCCATTCCCCCCGCCAAGGTGGTCCCTGTGTGGGACAGAGCATCCTCAGGCAAGACTGCTCCAAGGACAGAGAGCTATGACAGCCACCCGCAGCAGTCATTCATAAGTCTTGCTTTCTCTATCCTACATGCATATTTAAAGACCAATTAAGTAGATGAAACCTTACAATCCCGTCTAACGTGCTTCTGCCAGAGCACAGGATCCAGCGCATCAGGATTTGCAGTCCTGGAGGGCTTCCAGCTGCTGGCTGGGGAGGGATGCTAAAATCCTGGCTAGACTGAGTTAAAGGAGAAGATAGCCTTGAACATCACTCCTTGACACTCGGAAATATCAGGGGAAAACCTGGTTTTCTCTTTGGCAGTTTTAAAATTGAAAATAAGATGGGCTGGGCTGAATAACCTGTGTGCTGTGAATGAGTCACCTGACTCAGTTGTTTGCCAAGGCCTGCCCCGGCGCTGGCAGTGCCAGCTGGTGACCTGGGTACCACAGCTCTTCCCCAAAAGGGCCCCTGTGGCAGAGCTGCACCCGTTGAGGTTTGCTGTCATGCCCCGGAGCAGAAGCCTGGCTGGAATGAAGCCAGGCAAGTATGGTGACCCCGACTACCTTTCAGTGATGTCCTACCCAGCAGGTACAAAAAGAGGGTCCAGCTATGGCAAGCTGTGCCGAACACTACTAAGTGTTTTATTAGCTTGTACTGAGCAGGAATCCGCTAGCTGACACCTCCCCAAGTATCACTTGGGCTCCTGATTTTTTTTTTTGTGGTAGGGAGCCTAAGAGGGAAGGGGACCTCTGGGCACTTGCAGAGTAAGGTGGCTTTTTTCATGGCATGCCAATGTATAAAGCCATTCCTGAGCTGCTGGGAGTGTGTGTGCAAGAGGAGGAAGGAGCTGTCGAAAGAGCTTAGTTTACTTTTCCCTTGTTCTTGCTTCATGCTTTTCTGCGTTACTGGAAGATTATGTCAAACCGCCTTTCCCCATCGCAGCGTCCGCATCTGTAAAAATGGGAGCTGATACTTTCCCATTAACGCAGGACACCATGAGGGTGACTCCTAATGACTGTGAAGTGCCTCAGAGCCAGCAAGTCTAATAGGCAGCCTAATAATTAGCACTGTTATTTGATTACAAGCCTGGGTGGCTGGCAGCGGGACCGCGCAGTAATACTCTGAATCCTTTTGTCTAGTACCTGCCCCTGAACGGAGAACTCGTGCTGGCATCTGGCGCAGGATTCGCAGCTTTCGATGGCAGCTGGGATCCAGGCTGTGACTCAGGTATTTTGTGCCCAAACCAGTCACCCCATCAGCCTCCGATTAATCATGCAAATTCAGCCTCAGTGCTTCTACAAAGGTCGTTGCTGTCCCACCTCAGAGCAAAGTGAATCACTCCTCTTTTAATACCTACCTTTTCTTTGATGACCTCCCTTACATCAGATCTTTTTTTCCTGCTAGATCACCTGTCTTCTAAAAAAAGTAATTACAGCAGGGAAGCCTTTGAAGTTGCAGCAGAGAGGCAAATATTGTTTGTATTTTACCCTGCCTATTAAGAATGTAGCCACATCAAAGCTCTCATTTTCTTCGCCATGGCATTTCTAGAGAAAACCAATCAGGAATGACATGCTGGTGAGCTGAACTACAGCCATCGCAGTGAGCTGGCCTTTGGCCTGACGCGCATGGGCATTCCGGCGTGGGTGCATCCTTCCCTCCCCTCCCAGTCTCCAGCCCAGCAGATTTGAGGCAGGAAATCTCTGAGGCAGCAGATTTGTTTTGTCAATGCCTGTTATTAGTCTGAAAGCTGTTTGCTAGGGAGATGTATTCTGAAGTATTTAAGAGCTACCTAATGCTTTCAGTGGCAAGTAACTTTAGTTCGGCTGCAGGAAAGGAAGAGTCCAAGCGGAGCACCTGTGCCTGCACTCTGACTGGTGAAAAAAAGAGAGAAAAAAGAGAGAAAAAGCCCAAGTAGGTCTGCCCAGGTGAGGGACTGCAGCATCAGGCTGCCTGGAGCCACTCTGAAATCCTTCATCCCTATCTTTTTTCTGCTTTGGGGCCGTTTGCCCCCCATCAGGGATGCTCCGGCCGCTGTGTCTGCGCTGCACTGGGCTTTTACTTCTGACCATGTGCTACTTCCCTGAAATCAACAGGCCTTTCTGGGGCAATTTTCACAAATAGTTTTTTTTAAAGCATGATTTTAAAATGAATGCAACTAATTCAGTCAATAAACGCCCGTGTGATAGCTGAGTTGGTAAAGGTTCAGCTGTTGGGGAAGGGCGAGAAGGAAGCCGGGCACTGTGTGATGGTACTGACTGTCACCGGCAGGGAAATGGTTAATGGTGAAAGAGTCAATGGTTAAATGGTGCACGGGTTTTTGGGGTTACCCACTGCAGGGAATGGGGCCGGTCATGTTTCTGCAGGCCTGCCAGGTTGCTGGGAAACTGGGACATGAATTATCAGACCCATTTTTTTCCAGTTTAGCTGTTATTCAGCATTTGGGTCTTGTGACTGTTATCCTCCCTAACCATAAGGGAGAGCTTTAAAGGAGTGAGGGAAAAATGTCCTGTGGGATCTGGGGCCAGAGGCCTGCAGCCAGAAATGGGGAGAGAGGCTGAGCTGCCGAGACCCCAGCCCTGAGTGCTGGAGAGCTTTGCCAAGGTCTGGCAGATAGCGTGGTGCCACCGGCAGCCCTTCGCTCCCTACCCACAGGGTGAGCTCCTCTGCTTTGCTCCGAGCACTCACTGGTTTTATCAACTCGAATGCATCCCTCAGGGCCGAGGATTTGGCTCTGAGTCATGCTCAGCCTTTCCTGTTCCTTTTCCAGGTGCAACAGTGAGGTTCGCCGATGCCGAGCACCATGCGTGGTTTGACCCTTCGCTGTGGCAGGTCGTGTCCCTCAATAGGGAGCTTGAGACAAGCAGTCACATCTTTTCTGTGGATGAGGAACGTGTCCCGTGCCAGTATGATGATGTTATCTTCCAGCCTGAAACCTCCTTCCGAGTAAACATCGACTCATCGCGACGGGTGATTCGCCTCCGCAGCATCTCTCTCATGGGCCAGGTAACGAGGGATGATAAGAAACCGGCTTGACACCTCCTCACCGCAGCCCCAAAGTAGGTCAGGAGAGGAAGGACCAGGCGAGGATGGAGGAGCAGCACAGCGTGGGGAGATGGGGCACTCCCATGGTTCTGCAGCTTCACGGGCTGCTGCTACTGCGGACAGTCTCGATTTTTTTCCTCTGCCAGTTTGTTATCATCTCCTTCCCCGCAGTGTGGGAGCACAGGTTGTCTCACTATTCACATTAAAAAACCAAAAGAGGCCAATGTGCACGGGTCAGACCGCTGGCAGATGGCATCTTTTCCAGCATCCAGAGGCTGCCCCCTTCCCAGGCACGTGTCTGCAACCACACTGCTTGGAGACCCACTGGGGACACCCCACTCCCACCCCTGACCTGAGCATGGCCCATGGCCCGGCGATCATCTCCCAGCTTTGCTTCGGTACTGCTCTTTAATTGATCGGAGGGATAATTATAGAAACGCTGGCAGCCTGCTGTGCTTCAGCCCGGGAATCAGGCGCACAACAAGCCCCGTCCCTCGCCGGCCAGAGGAGTGAAAGATCACAGGCACTGCAGCAGTAAACACAGGCTCCTTCCAGGAGTGGGAGATGCTGCAGACATTTCATAAGTTATTTATTATTACTACTGCTGTGCTGCCTGGGATCTGCCATTTCGGGGCCAGGCGTTAGGTAACTGTTTTTTGAGTAATAACCTCAATTGGTGTCCAGGCTGGTGCAGGTGAGTCTGGACAAGGCAGGACCCCAATGGAGCTCACCTGGGGCACATGTAGCCCTGGCGATGCATAGGTGGGTGGTCCTGGGTGCTCAGAGTGATGGTGGTCCCACTGATGCCTAGGGACCACCCCACAGGACCTCATCCCCAAAAATCCACCCCCATAGGGACTGCAGCTGGCCATGCCCCAGGGTGGAGGCTGCTGCTGAGCCATGAGATGGAAGAAGAAGGTGCTTTTTATTTTTGTTATTACAGCATATTTCCTAAAACTTGACCTTGTAAGATACTTTATCCCTTTGTAGCCAGCCCACTCCTTGCTCTGTGTGAGGTATTTTCACCCCAGGGCCTGAGAAATCCTCCTGCTGTGCCAGGACATGGAGAAGCCTCCCATGGAAGGCAGCAGGTGAGGGACTTGCCATTGGCTTGGTAGGACAAGGCTGGTCAGTCCAGCTCAGCCTTCGCTAACGCTGAGCCCACTGAAATGCTTCTCACGTCATATCCAGCCCCTTCCTCCCATGTTTAAAAGCTGATAAACTGGGTTCTGTGGTCCAGTAGAAAGAGGGAAAACAAGAAGAGAAGCCCAACCATTTCATGATCTATTTGTGGTCCTTTTTTTGGTTTTAAATCAGAAAAAGTTTTTCTATTGGCCCAGTGGAAAAGCCCCAGTGAGTATAGTGGCAGGATTTTCCTGTGGTGGGGCCACCCCAAGCTGGCCGTCAGACATGGCACTGGAAGTCTAGGCAGCACAGCCGGGTGCCTGGGAACAGCTCTCGGACCTGGCTGGGGACGCTCACCCGCTCTGCTGCTCTTCCCATGCAGGAGCTGAGCAGTCCCGAGGCCTGGGCTGGGTACCTGCAGGGTCCCTCTGCCCCACTGCAGTTTCATGGCAATGGCACTCTCCAGGTGACAGGTGCTGGCTGTCCCGACAAGTCTGGCTGCACCTGTGGGAACACCCCGGTGAGTCCTCCTGTTGCAATTTAGGGGGGTATTCTTGCAATTTAGGGGGCAAAGAGGGATGAGGGACTGATGCTGCCCTACTCTCCTTTAGGACGCCCACCGCATTTGCTCAGCCCTGCTCGGGGCGTCAGGGAGGCAGTGCCCAGCGCTGACGTGCCAGAGCCCTTTGCAGCCCCTCGGCCACTGCTGCGGGGTCTGTGGTGAGTGGGGGACATGGCCCTATTCCTTCTCCCCACCGTGCCAGCTGCCCCAGCCCCCTTCCCTTGGCTCCACAGAGGAAAGCCGAGTGTGGAGGATGGTGTTGGTCTGGGATCTGGGTGCTCATGGGCTAAAGTTTTCCTGTAGCTCTGCTTCCAGCTGCGGGTCTTGTCTGCATCCCACGTGCCACCCTCCCAGGGCAGCTCTCTGAAGCATCAGCCTGGCTTTTGGGAGCCTGTTCTGAGTTGCAGCCCTTTGTCCCTGCCTCTGGTTTATCCTGTCAGGATGTCACAGCTCGTCAAGCTAATAGGGCTCTGCTGAGTTTATGCAGTGGAAAACACTCGGAGGAAATGCACCTTTTTCACTGTAATGTCAGCTTTCCAGCAGCAAGTTTGTTTCATTTCATTTAAAAGAAAAACATGCAGATTGACAGCATTCCCTCCACAGTGGGCACTTCTCCATTAATCTACCCGGAAGGTTGTTAAGGGGAATTTTTCATGCACGATTGTACCTAGATATGTGGGACATCGTACCAAATTCATTAAAACGGCACCGTATGTTTTTCTGACGAGCTCCTAAAAGCAGAGCCTCTTACAGCCTTTAGGATGATTTAATATTTCAACCAATGCTTACTTGCGTTTTTCCCAAGGAAAATATTTGTCCCAGCAAGTGCAGTGCAGTGGCATGGGGAGCGCAGGGGTCCCCTCCTCTCCGCCTTCCCTCCAGAGCCAGGGTACTGTTACCCTGAAACCCAGGCATGTACAGAGCTTCCCCAGGGGGATATGCAGGAGAAAGCTTTGCAGAATATGGTGGAAACCAAAAGCCTTTCACCAAACCCAGGTGATGAAAAGACCAGCAAGGGAGGGAGACATTTCTTGGGGCAGCGCTGCTCAGGCAGGACAGTGGAGCCACTGCTCCTGAGCCCAGCCAGACCAGCTGCACAGAGGGTCCAGAGGGACCCCAGTGCCTTTGGAGTCGGAGCTGGGCTGCTGTGGCAGGTCTCTGCTGGAGCTCAGTGACAATGTCGTACCTGTCTGTTTTCGGGCTGCAGGAGCCATCATTAGCCTGGATTTCACTCCTGATTTTGACCTACTGAAGTATCGGGACAGACTGGTCCAAACCTTGCTGAGCCAGGTATGTCAGCCCACCGGAGCAGGAGGGTCTAGTGAAACCACCAAAAAGCCACTGGCCATGGCTGCTGGTGACTCGGGGATGCTGAGGCTGTCTGGGGCAGGGTGCATGCAGTCCCAGTGATGCAGGGCGTTCAGACTCTCTTCCCACCACCCTGCAGGGCTCACCCTCCACATTTGGCCTCTTGGACATGTCAACTTGCCATGGGGACTGGTGCAGCCTCCCTTGCTTCCCACCCCAGCCATGCTGCCCCTCTCAACATGGGGCCGGAACAGCCACCGGCATGCAGTTGGGGAAGGATGCAATGGGCTGGCTGGAAACCCTGGTCTAGAAAACATGAGAGCTCAGCCAGGATGTCAGGTTGAGATAACATAGAAGGTCAGCCCATGTGGTTGGGATCATGCAGACTTGCTGCAGTGCATCCCACAGGCTCTGGGACGTCATTCCCAATGCTAGGCTGCTTTTTATTCCCCAGTAGGCAAGCTCCGGGTGGATTACTGGTACTGGTCAGCACTCAGATGCATGCTCTACAAGGCATCACTCCATGCTGCTGCTTGTCAGACACAGCGTGACATCCCTCCTCCCAGCTGGGAGCTGCCAGGGGGTGGAGGCAGGCTCTGACTTATACTGTGAGGATCAATATCAGAGTATTGCTCTATTGATCCCGAGCTGAAAGCCTGCTGCCTGCCCTCCTTACAGCGGCACATGTCTTAATACAGCATTTAATGGGTGCACTACACGAAATTGCTTTCTCAGTGCACTCGCTTCTGCCGGGGGGACGCCACATGCTGGCTGCTGGTCACAGCTTGGAAGGGAGAGGAGATATGAACCTCTCATTTGGGAAACTCAGCAGCACTGCGGTAACAGGGACAGCAGCTCTGTGATGGGACTCACATGAAGATTTATAGGCAGGCCTTGCTGGTACATCCATCCTGGCTGGCTGTAGAGGTGACTAATTTCTGCCTGCTGCTCTCATGGGCTTTACATGTTGCCTTGTGTTTTGAAAAGCGCAAGTACGCCGGCGTGCAGATGGCCATATCCAAGGTGCATAAAATGCAGACCTTCCTGGGAGCCATATCCCGAAGCTCCACTCCCTTCATCCAAATCGTGCTGATCGATGACGGGGCAGAAGCGCAGACTGGCACCGCTGCGGAGCAGCTGGCAGCAGAGGTCATGGAGGACATAGCACAGCATGGTAACATCAACGTACACCTAAAGCCACTGCTGTCCAGAGCTCCTTGAACCATGCCAGTAGCCCACGTGGGAGCCCCATATCCTGCTCTTTCACCAGGGAATCACACAGGAATTAAGTGGCAGCTTGGTTGAGGCCCCCTGAGTTGAACACTCCTAAGGTCCTTGTCCTCATCAGTCTGGTCTGGCACAGCTCTAAGCCTTCCTAGCATGCACGCTCTGTGTTTCTGATGATTTCAGCAGTGAGCTTTCCTTACTCAGTAGTTATATCATTTTAAGCATAGTAGTACAGCAGTGTGAGTAGAGCAGGACTGCAGGATCAAAAATTATCATGGTTAGCAGGGACCTCTGAAGGCCATTTGTTCTGCCCTGAGAGCAGGTTGCCCAGGACTGTGTCCAGGTGTGTTTTGAATCTCTCCAAGGATGGAGATTCCATATCTCCAGGCAACCTGTCCCCACAATTGACCACCTTTGTGGTACAACATTTTTTTCCTTATAGTTAAGTGGAATTTATTGTATTTCAATTTGTACCCACTGCCTCTTGCCCTGTCACTGGGCACCGCTGAGAAGAGCCTGGCTCAGCACTCCAGCTGTGTCTCACCAGGACAGAGCAGAGGGGAAGGGTCACCTCCCTTGACCTACTGGCAACCCTTCTACTCATGCAGCCCAGGGTACTGTTGTCTTTCATACCAAGTCCGGCTGTGGTCAGCTTGGTGCCCACCAGGACTCCCAGGTTCCTCTCTGCAGAACTGCTTTCCAGCCAGAGTGCTGTGTGTGGAGGCAGCATTGTAAGCTGGCAGATGCTGAGGAGCATGCAGATCACAGCCAAGGGACATGGTGGGTGTTGTATGGGTAGCAGACCCACCTGGGCTGGCCTCAGTTGAGTCCACCCAGCTGCGTATCCCACCCTCTGTCCCCAGGGAAAGGTGATCAACCAGGTGAGCAGCGCCAGACCCAAGCAGAGGCTCCCTCTGCCCTGTGCGTGAGTGGGGGTGGTGTACAGGTGGGGGATGTGTTACCCTGTCCGGTCCTCACCCCTATTTCTTCCCACCCTTTCCCAGGTGAAGCACTTGGTGTTTCAAGTGGCAAAATGGAGGTGGCCACTGGCAGCACTTTCAGTGGGCAAGTGGGGAGCCATGCATTGAGCAGGATCACAGCAGGGACAGTCTTGGGGCTGCTCTCCGGTCTCCTGTTGCTTGGAGGGATCCTCTTCCTCTACAGAAAGGGAAAGCTAAGGTAAGGATGAGGCTTCTACTGGCAGCGTATTGCCAGGCTTCTACTGCTTGGGGGCAGCTGTCACCCTAGACTGTCCTTCCAGATAGCCTGGTGACACAGGGGCAAAAGTGCTGCCCAAAGCTCCCATGGTGGTGGGCATGGCCAGGCAGTCTGCTATACCCAACATCACTGGTTCATAGAATCACAAAATGGTTTGGATTGGAAGAGACTTTTAAAGATCATCTAGTCCACCTCCCCTGCCACAGACAGGGACACCTTCCACTAGATCAGGTTGCTCAAAGCTCCATCCAACCTGGCCTTGAACACTTCCAGGGATGGGGCAGCCACACCTTCTCTGGGCAACCTGTTCCAGTGCCTCACCACCCTCAGAGTGAAGAACTTCTTCCTTAGATCTAATCTCAAAGTACCCTCTTTTAGTTTAAAACCATTGCCCTCGTTGTTCCTCAGGGTTTATTGGAGGTGAAGTGACTGAAAGACACTTTCATACACTTGGACTTGTACTTTAGCCTCCTCCATGGCCAGGAGGAGTTGCTTCTCGGCATGGTGCAGCATGCTCTGGTGGGAGCAGGGCTGCAGCAGCTCGATTTGAGCTCTGCACAGCCTCATGGTGCTGCCTGGAGACATCTCCTGTTCCTTGCGACCATTTGTTTGCAGCCCTGCTGGGGAGGTGGAAGACTGAAACTGCCAGCTGTTAAATAGAAATGCATCAAAATATTTCAAAACACTCATCCCATGGCTTTGTAGCCATGAAAGGGAGTGACAGCATCCAGAAGACAATGCAGCTTCTGGTGCACCTGTTGCTCACGCTGCACGGAGAACAGTGGGCAGGTCCCGGGGAATGATGGTGGGGCTCATGACACCTGCCCACCACAGCTGGGAGCTGATCAGAAATGTCCCTTCTCCATCATCTTTTCCCCTCACAGTTTGGAGATGGACTCCTACAGTGTACAGGGCATCCCCGTGGTGCCCACAGCAGGTCCTCGGGGCAACCACCTCTGCTCCTTGCTCATGGACCCACCTTCATGTGGAGGGCTTTGCGGGGTTCATTGGTGGATGTCTTTGTGTGTGGGGCTGTCCGCTGAGAGCCGCTATGGCTTGTCTCACCTACCGACTGCCGGCAAGCGGGATGAACTCGACACGTTTTATAACCAGGGAGCGGGAATTGCTTACATTTGCACGTGCAAAGTGTGCTGATGTCTGCCAGGGGATGCTGAGCTCCCCAGTGCTTGGGCTGGCCGTGTCACAGGCTCACAGGTCAGGTTGTTTCTTCCCTCTCAGTTCCTCCACTGGGGTTTTCTCACCATGCAGCAGCGGCCGTGGCCAGGGATGCTTTGCCCTGCCGCTTGGCACGTGCTGACGTGACATTTCCTAGCAATAAACCCGCACCTTCATTTAATTTCTAAATAAAACTCCCAGCCTCATAGTTGCTACTTGATGGTTTATCTTCCGCTGACACTTCTTTGGATGCCGAACAGGCCTTTGAAACTGGCTCCATCAGCAGCAAGAGGGAAGTTCATGTAGCTACAGGAGACGGAGCTGAACCCGAGCCCAGACCACGTCCCCGGCCGACCCGCTCCTGCTGCATGTCCCTGGGTGGCTCAGGCACAGGTGCCCTTTCGGGCAGTGCTGCCGAGCATTGTGGAGGCATCTGACACCAGAAGGGATGCAGCAAATTAGGCAGGCGGCTCTGGGAGCCTGCAAACAGTCTGCCTCCATGCAGCAGAACTGTCCCGACCACCAGCAAACCAGTGAACTCAGCTTGTTTCCAGAGAAAAGGGCCCAGCCTGGCCTCCCTGCAGATAACATGGCTCCTCCGATTGCCTACGCAGAGCCTGTGCCATGGTGGTCACAGTGGTTAAATACCAGTGGGCTCTCAGGACCTGCGGTGATGTGTGTGGACCTGCCGCTGAGCCCCAGGTGCAGGGGATGACGCTCAGTGACTGGGACCCTTAGGATAGGAGTAATGAGGAAAATATTAAAAGTGGTGACGGCGATTAAGATGATAACATGATGAAAGTAATGATAAAAGTAATTAGTCCTCATTGAGACTGCAGTGAGAACAGGTGTCAGCTTTGTGGCAATTCATTTTAGGCCATGGGGGGAGAGCGATGGCTCCAAAGTGAAGCCTGTGCTGGGGTTGTCTGCCTCTGACAAACTCTTCCCTCCAGGATGCAGGTCCCAGCCCTCCAGGTTTAATGGTTTCTGCTGGACAGGGCAGCTGTTCCCTGGGAAAGGGTACAAACGTCCCCTTTCAAAGACAACCTGAAGCTTTGCACCCTTGTTTTCCCATCCACCTCTTGAAGATGCAGTGTTTTGGCTGGAGAAGCTGCTGGGATGGGTGGAATGCAGGTGAGTGATGCCCAGGTCTCTCCTCAGGCTGCCTGCCCTACGCATCCCCAGGCCCTGGAACAGAGAGGAGGATCCAGTGTCCCCGGAGCCAGCCAGTGACAAAGGCTTCGACAACCCCATGTTCGACATGGTGAGTCACCACCGCTGGAGGACATGGGGATGTTCGGCTGTGGGCAGGAGGTGGCAGGACTCCAGCCAGGACCCTCTGCAATGCACCTGGCAGGTGCCTTTCCCCAGGCCAGGAGGGGTTTGTGGGATGGTCCCATCCTCCCGCAGGTCACCAGCATTTTGGCTGCCGCAGCGACTCAGCACTGGGTGGGTTTTTCCAAGGGTTTTCTTCCCCATGGGTTGCTTTTCCCTCCCTTGCTGTTGCAGGAGCCACCAAGCGCTGACCCTGGAGAGGAGATGCCACAGGAGATGACTCCCAAAGACCACCAGGTCTTTTACCTCAACCCTCTGTACGATGCAAACGAGACGGAGACCTGACAGCGTGGCCTCGTGCCAGGGGCAGCCACTACCTGCCTGGGGACATTGGCACCTCTCCAGCCCTCGCAGTCCCTACGTCACTCCTGGTGGAATCTAAACCACTATCAAGCAGATCCCACCTGAATAAAAGTGTCTGCACAGTGAAGGAAACCACAGCAAACCTTTACCATAAGGGCTCAGCTACACAGGAACGGCCTCCCTGGTGTTGCTTCTGTTTTTTAAACTGTATTTCGTAGGTATCAGTCCTTCTTAGACAGTTCAACATTGAGACTTGGGTCTCACCTTATACCTGGAGAAGTTGGGGTCTAGCTCAGCATCCTGTGCTTTAGCCAGCACCGTGCTGAGTATGCCCAGGGCATGCAGCAGGTTGACGGATGCAAGATGGAAATTCGGTGCTCAAACACTTTTCAAACTGTGGCCTGAAGCTTCAGGGCTTGGACTCATCAGTTGGGTTTAAAAGATGATTTCACCTTCTAGCAGTGCGCTGGGTGCCAGGAGTTCTTTGCTCGTGGTCCCTCATTCCTCCTCTTGAGGTATCGCTCCTGTCCCCCAGGCACTGGCATGAGGTGCAATCCTGAGCAAACATTTCCCTCCCCATCCCCTTTGCTGAGCTTGCTCCTCTCCCCTGCACCGGGGCTGACACTTGTAAGACCCTCTCGGACCTACCTGGGGATTTATCATGTTATTCCCTGCAGCGAGAGAGTGCTTCTTCTCGTGGTACAAGGTGGGAGAGGTTTGGTGCCAGTGCGGGGGTTCCCTGGGGAGGGATGCAGGCAGGAACCCGATGGCTGGGGACAATCACCCTGGCTCATCTCTAACGAGAGTCGGGGCAGCAGCACCAAGAGGGCCTTGTTAGCGGTGGCGTTTGTGGCCTGGCATGTGTCAAATACCCTCAGCTGCCTGCAATGTCAGGCAGCACTTCATTACAGGAGCAGGTCTGATGGGTGAGGCTGAAATTATGGAGATGTATGCAAATTTATGCAAATTTACACTCTACTGGGTTTTCGGTAGGGCTTGTTGGCATATTCCATAAGGAAGCAGCTATTTTAAGTTTATTATGTTTTGTTCTAGTCTCTGGAAGACATAATCCCCTCTCAAAGGCCTGGGAATTCATCATCAGGTGCATCAGAGCCCTGACGAAGGGTGACAGGCAGTACAAGGAGGTGAGACCAGCCCTGCCCCGCCCCTGCCCGCAAAGAGACCTCTGATAATGGGCAGTGCAGGCTGGCAGGACACAAAACGCAAGTCAGGCAGGACACAAGACCACCTCCATGACCCTGGTTGCTGCCATTGCTCTGCAAGCGGGGCAGAGGCGGGTGCGGGAGGAGGGCGCACTGGGGCACAGGGTGGGGACTGTACCCTGCACATCTCTCCTGAGGGTGCCCCTCCAGTAGCACTGGGTGGAAAAGCAGCTTACCCGGGCAGAAGCTTCTGCTGCAGCTGTCAGGCATTTGGTACTGCGTGAAGCAGCCATCAGTACAGTCGAAACGCCGAGGAAGCCATCAGCTGCTGCAGGCAGTAGCTGACACCAGCAGGTTGGCAATACCCAAGTCCCACCATCCCGTGGTCCTGGAACAAGGGCATCTCTGTGGAGAGCACCGACCCAGGGCTGTGTCCCCAAAACTCACTGCACAGCACGCAGAGCGCTCCCATGACATGAACCCAAGGACGACTCCCACACACACTCCAAGCCCTCATCCAGACCTCACGAGGCCAGACAACACCCCAGGGGGCTGGTGCAGACATGGTGCAGCACGTTCAGCCCATGCATCACTTGCTGGCGAGGCGCTGGTGCCGCGATGTTACCATGGTGCCTGCGAGAGCAGCTGCAGCATCCGCCGGCCCCGCATAGCAGAGGGGGGTGTTCGTATCGGTGCGA